AAGGGTTGATGGGCAAATTGATCCCTAATGCTTTATTCTGACATTCTGACAACAACCATTCCCCATGAACGGCATGTTTCCAGGAAATGGGACACCTCTGTTTCTTTTGCATTGCTAGCAGTGAGAATGTTTGGCCTCTGGACTATGTTAGCTTGAGGGCATGTAAATTATAGTATGTAAGTGTGTGCTGGTGTAACAACAGCTGAGACAAAGGGCACCGATCGGTCCTTAACAAGACCTTAAGTCGGGGTTTAACAAGTTTAAAAGTCAAGAATACGTCCTGAGATTGATCAAGAATCAGGTTTTCAGACCAGAAAACTAGGTGTTTGTTTTTTAGCCTTGACCTAACGCCAACTTATCAATAGCCTAAGGCATTGATCTATGTATGATTCAGGCAGAGGAATGATTTTATTTTTGAACCTGTAGAACAGTTTGACACACATTCTACCAAACATTTTTCACTGTCCTTTTACTCTTTTACTTCAGTTTCAACACTGTTGGAAAGTTACAAATAAAAAGTATATGCCTATAGCAAAATACACATGATAAAGGGTTATACATTTTACTTTTCAGAGGTCTCATCATGTTAGATGGTAACATGAGGCCAGGGTTATTACTTTTTGATAATGTAGACAAATGTACGTAAGACTTCAATTTGACCTATGAAAGTACAAAAAAAAAAAACCTTTAAACAAACATGTCAAAATGTAATGTTGGTCCTTTCTAGTTTACAGTTTTGCTGTTGTTTGTATTTTTTATGTTACACCAGGTAATATGGGACATTTCAACAAGAAACATACGTTATGTTGTCTTTTTATTGTTGTCTTTAGTGGATCCAGTGGATCTATGCTGAGTTTTTCCCCAATAAACTTGAAGACGGATAAAACTTCTTTACCATCATTTGATCCTTTTTATTATATTATTTAATAGGAAATTCCCAAATGGGACTTAAGAAAAAACGTGGAAGCTGAGATCTCTAGGGAGAAAAAAAAAAGTATTCTAGTGAGAACAAGTAGATGGGGACTGTAATACATTAACTGGGAAGCAGATCTTTATAGAAGCAAACAACAACAAAAAGAAAGAAAGAAGAAACACCCACAATAAATGTGTTTGAGTGCTATATGACTTTATGATTGTGTAAGGGCACTGAGGGCAAAAAAACATATTTTCTCCAATACAAAACCAAGCCCATGTGTTTGAGGCAGTGAAACAAAACTGATAAAAGCCTGTTCAAGTTGTATTGTTAACCATGCGGCCATTGACCCTTAACCTGTGGCTCTTGTTTGCGTTTGCTGCACCTGTTGCCCTTTTCTTTTCCTTCCCTCTACCTTTTATACGTAGCAATGCATTTCACCTATTATAGATCCTCGATGAAGTCTTAATTCTTTCAGAGTCAAAGGTCATTAAGTCTCTTTTGTCAAAGTCTGCACCTCCAATTGGAGCCATGTTGAGAATAATGATGACTAAAGTAGCTGTGGGCAGGGATGAATTCATAACAATCCAGTAGGGTGCAATAAAAAGGACTTAGCTGGGACTCAAGTTCAACTCCTCATTCCTTGAAGAGCCGCTGCTCTAGTAAAAGGTGCCTCAGACGTGATAGTCTCACATAAATGCCACTGGAGTGCTTCTATTGGATGAGCCAGGCTGTTAGTTCCCGCCCTATCAGGAAGTAACCAATTTGTCTTCCACTCACATTTAATTGGCCAAGTTTACAGGCAGCATCTCACTCAATAAGAGTTTATGACTCGGAAGCTTTATGTGTTATTTCTGGAGCCAGAAGAAAATGCATGCTATGAAATGTGAAAGTCAGGGTGTGAAGTGGTAGCATGTAGCTGTGAGGGTTATTGATTGAGGCAATAAAAGTGTAATCTGAGAAACTGTGAGGTTATTTTGGCATATACTGGTTGTTGACCAAACAAGAGTGCCTTGAGAACGAGACGGGTTATAGAGTAATAAGGAAAGCGCGTGGCAGAAAAAATAAGAACATGACAGCCTTTTGTTCAGGTAAAAGTTTGTTTGATTTATTATGTTTAAAAATAAAAATAAACATTTTTGTCCAAATTGTCTCTTTTTATTTAATGTATTAATATGAATTATAATTTTAGGTTTCAGATGGTTGTGTTTTGCACGTTGTCTCCATAAAATGCCATGATTTTACTTCTTGGACTTTTTACAGCTGTAGTGGCTTTTCAAAGTCCCGTGAACTTTGACATCAGTATATGAGTGATTTTGCACCACATCGTCCCCTCTGCAAGGCATCACTCACATCACAATGGAATAATAGCACATGCATTTGCCTGAGTGAATATGCAAGGTGTCTGTGTGTGTGTGTGTGTGTGTGTGTGTCCCTGGAGCAGGTTGATTGTGAGGGTCGTCAAAGTGCATGAAAGCACATGTAGAGATGTGCACGCACAGACCAGAGCAGATCCAGTCTAATTAAAAAGCACAGCGGAGATATGTCAGTGGTTCTGTAAAAGAGAGAGAGTGTGTGTGTGTGTGTGTGTGTGGGGGGGGGGGGGGGGCATGATCGGCCATCAAATGAAACAATATGGGACCTCGGGGTTTCCATTTGCGTATTCGGACACTTCACTCCAACAAACTGTGGCTGTTTTATGTGGGAAAAAAAAGTTGATAATTAGTCCCACAGTGGCTGAAGGATGAGATGGAGAGGAGGAGGGGGGCGGAGGCACTGAAGGCAGAGAGGAGAGTGCTTAACACATTTAATACTCCATCCTGATGCTGTCTGGGAATCATTGATCAACTGTTGTTTTCTTCTGTTGTTTCTTTTTTAATCATATTTACTTTTTTCACCCTATAATTAGTTAACAGAACTGATAAGTTGAAACAGATTATTTTGCTAAATGTAGACGTAGTGAAGTCTTTCCAAATCATTTCCATATGTTTGTCTACTTGTGTTTGTATGGTAGGCTGCTGTCATTTCACATTTTTGCTCTTTGCAATCCCTTATTTTATTTATTTAAATAAAAATAAAAACTTTCTGCAGAAAATGATTAAATGTTTGCAAGGCATATTTTCTACAATATAGATACACATTTATTTTATTTTTATTTTGAAAGTAATGTTGGCAGCACTTTATCTCGTAAATAAGCTACCTACGCCAAATTATTCAACATGGATAGATACTGTTGGGCTCTTTCTGGTCTGAAAGCTAATAGTAAATATGAGACTAATTACAAGCCACCACGACTTTGAAATGATGAATTTTCTGTTTTAAAACCAACAAAGAAGTGTTGTGTTTACCTTTTCTGATCATTCTGTTCCATTCTCAGATCATTTAAAGACAAATACGTGTGAGCATTCAGCGCCGACCTTTAATTCAATTGTTTTTACCTTAAGTTAGCTTGTTTCCTTCACAGAAAATAAAATCAAACCAAGACAATTTGCTATATGTTTTCCCAATATTTATGCTCAACTTTATGATGTTGCAACAAAGAAACTTTTCTCATGTCAGTCTAACATGCACGGTCCCCCCGCCCCCCAAACCCACCTTGTTGACCTGTGTAGGATGTGTGTAAATGCTGAAAGCGCACTCTGCAGACTGGGTTTATGTAAGACTATGTTACCGCTGCTCAGAGGTGTTGGTGGTGTGAGCACTGCCTGACAGGAGGTCAGACAGCTGAGTGGCAGCAGGAAAAAGCACATGTCATGTTTGTTTGGAGGCTCCTTTGTCACGGGCCACACCCCTCCCCCTGCTCCTGCCCTCCTCTTGGCCTTATTTAGCCCCCCGCCATGTCACTCAGAGGTCAGCACTAGCACACACACAGTGCACACCAGCACAGACGCACACACATGCAGATTGTAATAGCATGGTAGACTGAATCGTAGATGGAAGTGCCTTGAAGGACCTACTTCTCATTCTCTAGACCTCATTAGCTGCTGATTTATCTCCCCCTCCTTCTTCTTAATGCTCTCGGTGGGCGGATGTGGCGGCTGCGTGTAAGACTAGGTACTGTGTGGAACAGAACAACATAGTATTTCCAGATTAATGTCTATAGAGAAATGAAGTCCAAAGGATTAAATATTTCAGACGGTGTGTTTTTGTGCAGAAGTGCCAGGTATACACAGGTGCCGGGTCACCCCAGAGTCACCCACTGTGAGCGCCCTCGACCTGGGGTCAAACAGATTAATAAAAGATCACACACAGAGACAAGGAGAAAGAGAGAGAGAGAGAGCTTTGAACAGATTAGATATTCTGCACTCCCCTGCTTCATAATCATGACGAGTGCGCAGTGTACTCTGGTTTACCATTATCCATTTAGCAAATTTTTGTCTTGTCTTGCAATAATCTCTTCAAAGCCCCAGTGAGCTTATTATTGTCAAGGAAAAGTGCTTATAGCTGTGCAGAAAGGTGGGCAATGTATTTTACACAAATAATTAATAGTTAAAAAAAGACTTTTTAACTAAGTGAATTTTATTCTAGACTGTTTATCCTCCACCCCCCAAAAAATTATAAAACATTGAACACTGTTTTGCTGAAATTAAAAAAGTAGAGTGAAGTTGTTAGGTAAAGTAGTAATTGTAGCTCTAACGTGACTATAGCTGCCCTACATAATTCATTGACTCCTGGGGAAATTGATCTCTCAAGAGAGCAACCTTCTTGCTTTTACCTGATTTTCTCTATATGGTTGTCCCAGGAGACAGTTCAGTAGAAAGATTGGGGTGGGGGGATATTTCATCATACATGAACCAAGTAAAAATAAACCACAGACAACGAAAGTGATAATTGAGGACACCAATTACTCAAACCTTTGTTTCTAAAAAGAAACCATACAGTCGTTGAGGTATTAAGACATATTTTTGTGTCCTGATGAAAATCACAGTAGCATCTTTAAACTGCTTTTAAATCAAGAAAAATAAAAAGTAAAAACTGAGACAAAACCATAAGTTTTTTTTTTGTGCATAAACTTTGATCCTGCACTTCCTCTGTTTTCTCTTGCTTAGATTGTCTCTACTAAACGTTCTCTTGCTCCTTCCTGCAGATGTGAAGAACTTGGAGAACTTCCACCTGGTGGAGAGCGTTCAGGAGCAGGTCAATGCAGCGCTGCTAGACTACGTCATGTGTAACTATCCCCAGCAAACTGACAAGTTTGGCCAGCTGCTCCTCCGGCTGCCCGAGATCCGAGCCATCAGCCTGCAGGCCGAAGAGTACCTTTACTACAAGCACCTGAATGGCGACGTGCCCTGCAACAACCTGCTCATTGAAATGCTGCATGCAAAAAGAGCTTAACGGGGTGACTGTCCCAACCCCGTAATGCAGCTGCAAGAACATCTTTCATGTGGCACAAAAGCCACAACATTATGTTGAAACCGAACCAAACCTCCAGCTCAAACTCGGTTGAACGATGATGAGGAAGGTGGAGATCCGAAACTCTTATTTATACCGAGCTCATCTTGAACTTCAAGACTCACAGCGTGCATAGACATCAAACAGATCCCTTTATTGTAATATATAAAATAAGACCACAACAGCAGAAAAGGGACAATGCTGAAAGGACAAAATAAACACTTGAAAGTAACTCCACATTTTCATGGCAATATCTGCTTAACCAGGACTATCAGGCTGCCAGGCTCAACTGAAGGAACTAACAGCCCCTCTGTGTGTTTAAGCACTGGTTTTGAAAGTAGTTTGTTAGGAAATGAGGTTCAGTAACACTGCCCATCTTTCAAACAGCTTTGTAACTACAGGTTGACGGTTCTCCGGTGTGTTCTCTCACTGAAACTGTGTCCCAGTTGGGGTCGGTACTGTAAAGTGAAATGGACAAGCAGCCAGCCAGGCAAGAGACTCTTACCTATATCTGTTCTCTGAACTCCCACATGTCATCTACATCAGTTGTTTGACTTAAAAAGAAGGGACTGGTGGGTTAAAAAGGTCTACAGTAGGAATAGTCATTATTGAACAAAATGCTATAGGCTTATAAGAAAAAAGACACATTTTTATTTTGCATTGGAAATTATTAGCTTTTCATGATCACCTTGTTGTTCCCCCCATCTCATTCCACATCCCCAGAATCCTCTTTATCTACAGACCAGTGTTAAAACAGCCTATATTAAAGTTTGCAAACTAACTGTATTTCTAGACCATTTTTTTCTTGAGGGACAAAATGCACCCTTTTTTCTTTAAATCTGGAACAAAAAGCATGATTCTGGAGACAGATCTACCTTCATGTTCTCTGAAAAAGACCAAATCCTTCTGTCAAAGAGAGGAAGGGGATAACAACTTCCTAATCAGTGTTAAAAACTGGGGGGAGGGGGGTGAATTGTGATGTCAAGGTTATGTGAGTCTTGCCTTATTTCATCACCATGCTAGCTAACGTGCAGATGTGAATAAGACTATGTACAAATATATAAATATATATGAAGTATTAATGTTGTAAAAATAAAAGAATGAGTAATTCAACAGGTGTTTACATTCATGTGGTCATATGGGAAAGAACTGTGACGAAGCGTAATTTGCAATGATTTCCTAAAAAAAAAAAAAAAAATGAGATCAGCTAAATGAAGAAAAGGATTCCTCTTATTTGTTTTGTTTGGTGTGTGTACAGTGTTCAATTTTCTTTTTTTATTTGTTTTGAACAGTACTTAAATTATGTCGTGAGACTCTAAAATCAAAGGGAAAAGAGACAATATTAATTTCTGTGTCTGCTGGCATTTCAACATTTGTTTTTGAGCATTGCTGTCAAAGAATTTTGTTTCACTTAACATTTCATTTGTAAATCGATTTTGCTTTTTTTTTTTTTTTTTTTTTACAATTCTTTAACCTTTATCAATGTACAGTATGTCACTGGTTACGCCTAATATTAATGAAGATAATTTATTGCATCACTGGGTCTCCATATTTGTGTTACATGACGTGAGGTTTCCACGGCAGAATAAATTTGTTTACTGGAGCATGCTCTCTGTTTTGTTTCCATCAGTGGTTTTGAGGTGCAGGTCTGGAGTAAAAATATGACAATTTTTTTTTGTTTTTCCAGTCCTGTTCATGCAGGTCTATATATTCAAATGCACAATGTATTTAAGGAAAAACATTTGCGCCATATCAGTTTTTCTTATAGGATTTCAATTAGAATATTTGTTCTTTGTGGTTTCCTCTTCTACCAAAGAGTGCATATTTCCCTTGTGAGCTGTAATTTTAAATCTTGTGCTCAAATTTAGCCAAAAACAATATATTTTCCTCATGAATGACAGCCTGCAATAATTTTTTTCTTGTGTAGAATACAATTGCTGCCATGTTCCTTATCCTGCCTCGTGCAGCATGTGGTGTTCATTTATTCATTTTGTCATCATCTTGGTTAATAAGCCACACAATTGTCAAAATTATCTTAGTGGCATGTTTATTGTACAGAAAAGTCACTCCAATCCAGTGTCAAGAAGATGTCTGCAGCATATCTTGCCCTCCTTTATTGTGTCACCTGATCAAACAATCTCATCCATCATCCGCTTAAATCCTGCCCTGGTTCCCTCACAGGTAAACTCGATCCTACATGCAGACATTCCAGTCACTGCATGGTTGTTATAAAACTGCTGCAGCCCTAAGAGTTGGTCATCATCTCTATTAAATGCTGGAAGAATGTTTAATCACTTTGTTGTCTAAACTGCATGGAGATAAATCCAACTGTTTGCTCTAAAACAATCTAAATCAGTGTTTACAAACTTTTTAGGCCTGCGTCAACTCAAAACTGTAGAGGGATGGAAAACAATGTCCAAGCCCCAAGTGGTTGCAATGAGTCTTCACTATACTGTAGTATTATTACTACATTTTTAAAGAACAATTCATTTCAATCTGTACAAAAACTTATGAATATTTTTTGGCAGAAATATTGAGTTAAAATTCAAAATACCACTTCCTATTTAACTTGTCCATGATTTTAACCCATACTGCTAACAATGTTCTGATCAGAACCTGCTCCTGGACAGTTTCATAAAGAATTTTATTTTATTTTTTTCACATTTCAATAAATTATTATACCACCACATTCCCAGTCCCTCTGAACACTAATGCTATCTATCTACATTTTACTCATTTAATACAGGGAATATACTACATGATGTGTAAATTGCAGCAAAATAATATGGAAGATTGAGACATTATGTTATTATATCAAATAGTACTGCAGTAGATAAAAATAGTCACATTTAATTATCAACATGACAACATCTAAAAAAAATGTTTTCAATGATTACAAATGATCACGAGTTAAGTGTCCACAGCAGATAAATCACAGTTACACAATGAGTACTTCACACTAACTGGACAAGACAACACTTTCTGTACAGCAAGATAAAAAAAAAAAGACCAAGAAAAAACTTACTACATTACCAAAACACAATGTCCTTGTAGAACAAAAAAAAAAGACACTTAAAAGTTGAATAATACATTGCTTACATGGCGAGTCCTTCACTGAAAGTACTTGTAAAAAAAAAAAAAACTCTTAGAAACACAAATGAGCACAAATTTCATCATAATGATTATCACTGACAAAAGAGAATTTTAAAAGTGAAGAAAAAAAGAAGCCATGATGGAAAAAAATAAAACGTACAAATTCTAACTAAAAATTATTCTCACAATGACGTGACGGTGAACATGCAGTCTGCCATGTCAGTCTATGTCGACGAGTCCGTGGCTTTTTGGAGACGAAGGCCTGCGAGGAAAACAGGAGGCTGCAAACTCCAGCTCCATGGGAACGTGAAGAACACAACCAGGAGACAAGGCGTCCACTTCTACAGGAGGAGGCCTCTGCGTGCAGGAAGAGGATGCACAGCTTTACAGAGCTGTAACCTTAGATAAACATTTACTCACACTCATAAATATTATGAAACACAGATATAAAATGAGGATGACTTTAATATTTTGCATTTATTAAAACTTCTATTAAATTTTTCAACTCTACTCTCACAAAAGCCCAGATATTTTCAAGTAATTTACAAATACAAATGCATTTACCATTACGACATAATTTGGCAAGAAGCTAAAAAATTAAAAAGTTAGATTTTTTTTTTGTTTGTTTTACAAGTATCATTTGGCAAAAATAGCTGATTGATCATTTTCATTATAACCTGGTTATGTGTCTGTTATGACATTGACTAAAAAGATCAGATTATAAAATATCATGGCTGCATTGTTCCTTGTGCTCTTGTGAATATCAATTTTCATCACCCCGTCTGTTTATCAAGTACATTTATCAACATAAAACATGTTTATCTTCTAAATTAAGTGAAACATTGTAGTAATGACATTTTTATATTCCCAGGAATTAAAAATAAACAATAATTCTAAGTTTACTTGTTAAATGGAATTACAGCTAAAAAAAACCCCTCTAATTTAACCTTATAGATAGGTAGATAAATATAGCTAAGTGATGTGAAACTCTGGTTGCTGAGGTGGTATAGATGTTAGAGGTGTTGACGTGCAGCATTAAAGATGCCAGTCACAGAAAAACAAGCGGCCAGCTCGATTCCCGGCGCACAGCGTTGCAATTCTCACTTGGAGCTTGGCTTGCAGTGCCTGGCCTCCTGCCTGTAAATGTGTTAAACCTGCTTTCACTCGCTCTGAATTTGTATAAATAATGTATATACATTTATACACAGACTCTAACAAGTGCAGCCTCAGGTGAAAATACTCAGAAATGCATGCTCTGTGCATCCCCGAAGGTGGACATCAGCTCCAAACCAACTAACTCAAAAGATAACCGCACAGAGGAAAACACAGACACACACACACAAACATAACTTGCCAAAAGCAACACAAACACACAGAGATGGCTCTTTGCTCTCACACATAGTCCTGTCAGTTTCTAAACAAGTTTTCCTTTCCATCACACAAACAGCCCCAAGTTGCGTCTGCCAGTGTTATGTGAAGCTTTTAAACTCTGGAACCACATCACTCGTGTTTACAGAGATGTGCTTGTGTGTTTCCCTGCATTGTCAAGCAGAGTCAAAGGGAAAGAGACTGCAGGGAGGGAAAAAAATAGTAAAGCTTTGGGAAGTGTTCCAAGATAGTGGGAAAATGTGAAGACGAATGCTGAAACAAATATATTTGCTATGAAGTCCGGTTTGAGGCAGGCCCCGGGGCTCAACAGCTCACATGGTGGCTAAACTTGTGTTGACATAAAGGCTACCACAGTACACCAATCAGGGCTTTATAACAGATCACAGCACAGTATTTACTGTGTATTCTCACCTTTAAGGGAATTTGTTTTCTGGGTTATGACAATAAACTTCATCATACACTTAAAAATATCACAAGTGGAGGTATCTGCTGGTTTTACTAACTAGAATAAAGAGAA